GCACTCACACAACTTAACCTCTTTTTCTGGTCGCTCTGAGTGTTTTCTGACCACCAGTTTTTTGAGATTCAAAAGTAGTATGGCTTGGTGTCCTTTTCTTTATGTGTCTGAGCTTCAATGAGCTTCTAAAATCTGGGGGCTAATTAGTATTTTATAGATTTTCTAAAATATAGGAAAATTTTAGTATCAGTTTCTTAAAACATTTTGGCCTTTCCCCTTCAGGACTCTAAATATGTGTGTATGTGTATGTGTATGTGTATGTGTATGTGTATGTGTATGTATATGTATATGTACATATATATGTTTGTTTGAAATTGTCCCATCAGTCCTTAATGCTTTATTCTATTTAAAAGCAAGAATAAATCTTTTCTTGTTCTCATTTCACAGAGTTTTATTAATCTTTTCTTCTACAATATCTAATGTGGCAATGCCTGTTTAATGAATAAATATTTAGGGCTTACTTCAGTATTTCCCTTCTCTCTCTACAATATCTTTTGTTGCCCTACATTAAATGTTTTGCACATTATTTTGATATATATAGAAATATATATGTACATAATATATATAACAACATGTTATATGTAATATATAAAAATCTATAAATATATGTATTATGTATGTTTGTATAAACTATATTCAATACATATAAATAAAAAAAATATGATTATATAATATATAAAACATAAATATACAATATATTATAAGTATAACATGTAAATATATAAATATAAGTATAGTTCTGTATAAATATATAATATATAAATATATACAGATGTGTGTATATATACACAGAAACAAAATATATCTAAAACATATAAACAAAATAATTACATATAATATATGTACTATATATTTGTACCCTTTCTTGCTTTTTTCACGTCAGGAGAATAAGTGTGCTTCCTGTTTTTCTATACTGAGTGAGGGCAGAACTCTCATAACTGTACCAGTATTTCCGTCAGTTGGCAGGTGTTTGTCTTACGTATTTGTGATTATAGCCCATTCAAACTTGACTTGAGTCTACTTCTAACATTTTGAATGTACGAAAGTACCTACAACTCTTTTCGTTCTGACATCTGGGTTGCCTCTGTGTCGGTCTAAGTACCGATTTTCCACTTTATGCTGCATTGTGTTCTTCTGTTTCTCTGCACACCTGGTAAATTTTCACATATGGCAGGCTCTGAGAATTCTACCTTTTTAGGTGCTGCCTACGTCTACGTGCCTGTAGGTAGCATTATGGCTTTACTCTGGGATGTGGATACTTAGAGATGGTGTATCTTTTCAACTCAAATCTTCCTTTTAAAATTAGTTACATGAAACTAGGACAATGTTTACTCCTCTTGACTTGGGCAAGACACTTGTGTGTGGTGGTATTGTGTTCCCCGAAATATTGTGCACTCTAATAAACTTATCTGGGGTCAGAGAACAGAACAGCCACAATATTAAACATAGAGGTTAGGCAGTGGTAGCACACGCCTTTAATCCTAGCATTCCAGGGGCAAAGATCTGCCTGGATCTCTGTGAGTTCAAGGCCACACTGGAAACAGCCAAGCATTGTGACTCCTTTAATCCCAGGAAGTAATGGTAGGAAGCAGAAAGGTATTTAAGGCATGAGGACAAGGAACTATAACCTGGTTAAGTTTTTAGGCTTTTGAGCAGCAGTTCAGCTGAGATCCATTTGGATGAGGACTCAAAACTTCCAGTCTGAGGAACAAGATCAGCTGAGGAACTGCCGAGGTGAGGAAGCTGTGGCTTGTTCTGTTTCTCTGATCTTCCCCAGTACCTGGCTCCAGGTTTGTTTTTATTAATAAGACCTTTTAAGATTCATGCTACACTTGTGTCTACTTCTTTGAGTTCCCCACGAGGCTTCCTGTTCTGGCTTGTGGGAACAGAACCTCTCCAGCCTTATTGTGAACCAGGCTCTCACCATCAAATATAGTCTGGCCAATGCCCACACTATGGTTTTCGGCATTTAGCTTTTGTATAAATGCCTAGGAGTTACTTTCTAAGTCTACTGTGTATCAGAAGTGTGTTTTGCTTCCCTGGAATCTTTGCTCCTTCCTTAGCTGATGCTCTTCTAGAAGGTTCCTCCCTTATATTAGTTATACTTGTCAACTAGGCTAATTGTCCACAGCACCAAAGCGTTTAAAGTGTTATTGATTTTTCATCATTGAAATAAGAAGTGGATGTAGGAAACCATTTATTTGGCAGAATGTGAAATAGCTAATATCTTTATTGTGTGGACAAGAATATACAGTGGAGTATGAGTTTGTGAATCATGTATAACAATGAACATAGTAAATAGAACCAAAACCAGTTCGACAATGAGTCCCTTGACCACGGTGATCCCTCCTGACAGACGTCCTCAGGTAATTTCATTTTTCTGCAAACACAGAGTATACTCTAAGGAATCTGGTGGTATAGCCTGCCAGAGAATTAGACTATGTGGTCTATACAACTAGACAGGATATGAAGTGAACTCAGGTCTTTGGAATGTGAAGCAAATTCCAGCACTGTACGGTAAGCTGCAGACGGTACATCTTTCTCCTGTGTCTCTCCACTGACATGGATGCTCATGTCCTGGGATTTATGATGTTGCTGTCCATGTCCTCTTCTACAAGGATAGGTGGGCAGTGGAGAAAAAGAGAAGTGAGACACAGCCAACTGAGAGGCCACTGCATATCCTTAGATGCTTCTCATTTCATCTACTCACCGGCAGCACCATGCACTATGCAGACACTATTGAGAGCCACGCACTATGCAGACACTGTTGAGAACCATGCACTGTTCAAACACTATTGAGGGCCATGCACTGTGCAAACACTACTGAGGACCATGCACTGTGCAAACACTGTTGAGACTCAGTTTTGTCCCGAGGCATTTGTGAATGTGTGGGTGATACAGTGCAAATAATGGATAGTGACTAAGGAACTGAGATAATGACTACATTCTCACCTTTTAGGAAGAATTTCTCTTTTGAGAAATGTAGCAAAAGGAACTTTTACCAATGCCCCTCATTCTGAGCCCCTCTTTTCAAGCAACAGAAGTCTACCTGTCACGAGGTTAGGATGTGAGACAACAATGTGTTTCGGTGAGCCCAAATTCAAACTACAAAACAGCTGCTGAAGTCTGCCTGCTTGATAACTGCTCTTTGTCAAATCAAAACACTCACCATGGGCCACCATGTTGCTCTAGTTGTCAAGTCAGCTGTGTTGTTGTTGTCGTTGTTGTTAGGGGGAGAGTACCATTAGCAGTGCTGGCCTGGGGCCAAGCAGAAGCCTGGGAGACTTGGGGCCATCTATTCCACTAAAGGCTTTAAGACCACTGATAGCCTGTGACATGTGACCCAAATGGCCTTTTGGAAGTTTACCATTGCCTTCCAGTTCAGCACAGAAAGACACACAGATACCTCCACTGCTGCAATCAGCCCAGCTAAAAGTGATGCCAGAGAATTTAAATAAGAGAGGCAAGAAGATAAAACAAAGGTCTCTTGGACTCTATTGGGAAATCTTACTGCGTCTACATATTGTTTCACAAAACCCTGATGCTCAGGTGCGCATTATAGTACCACGGAGGAATAGTTCAGTCATCAGTAATCATATTGTGCCTATACCTGATTACTGTCTTAGCCAAAGGTTTAAGAAAAGCCAATACAATCACAAATAAAGGAACATTCCTTGTAGTCACCTGTTTAAACACAGCAGAGTGTAAACAAAAATCTATCATCAACTAGCCACGCCTAGGACTCCTATTCCGTGTGCAAGATACTGACTTTGAGATTGCAAATTCAAAAGAAACTACTGTCTAATTTGCTGGTGTCTCTGTGGCCAGCAAACTAGAAACCCGGTGAGTAACGACATCATGAGGCTCTGTGAGACTTAGATTACTTGGGCTTCCTTGCCAACACTGGCCACATTGACCTCTGGATGTGGCAAGGACCTAGTTGCTACCTTCAACTAGGGCAATCCCTTGACTTAAGCTCTGCTATCGCCCAATACGGGTTTTGCTGAAGGGTACACAGTACATTGTGTCCCCATGTGTGATGTGGGCCAGAGACAGGGCTACTTTATGGATTCTAGGGCTGGACTTCCTTGAGCTTAGGAAAAAAGTCAAGAATGAGGGGAGAGGGGCAGCAGGGATTGGGAAGGCTAGAGCATAAACTGGGTGGTACTCGGGCATTATTGTACACAACATGCCCTTAGAGAGAATGTATGCACCTCGTACTGAATTGGGTCCTGTGTGGCTTCTCTATCCTTTGTCTGTTTCCAAAGAATCAACCCCCCACAAGGTTTCTGTACTCCTTGTGCATTCTCCATCCAGCTCCTGGTCCTAATGGACTCACCCAGGTCTATCTGGTTGGGGGCTCTTACACTGGGAACTCACACAATGAGAACCTAACCTCTGTGCTTGAATTGTGAAGAGAACAATGAAGGGAGACAAATGTGTTTTTGTTTTTGTTTTGTATTTTTTTTTTGGTTTTTCGAGACAGGGTTTCTCTGTTGTAGCTTTGGTGCCTGTCCTGGATCTCACTCTGTAGACCAGGCTGGCCTCGAACTCACAGAGGGAGGCAGAGCCAGACAAATGTGTTTTTAAGAGACCTAGACAAGCTAGATTTAGTTTAATCTGAGCAAAGGACATTATTCATGAATCAGACCACATTCAGACACAGGAGAGGCTCCAAGAGCTCTCTACCCAACAGCCCCAGCAGGCAAATCACAGGCAGGAAAAGAGCATGGGATTCAAAACCAGTTTGATTGGTTGTAGGTAAGTGCTTGCCTTATACGGACATGGCCTGATCAGCTAGCAGCCTGTGATTGGCTGAGGTTTGCTTCCTCTGATTGGCTAAGACCCAGCTGCTTGTTACAGGACACTAGGCTTAAGTTAGGCTGCAGTTTGCTATTTACACTGAAAACCTTAGACCAAATTTTGTATTCTTTACATTTATATTTTAATGTTAGTTACTCATTTCTCTTTGAAGTGTCCTATTATTCAACTTGCCTTAATATTCTGGGGCTCCTCTTGTCCGGGCGGAAGAATTCATTTCTTCCATTGTCCCTGTCTGATTTTAAGCATCATTCACCTTCCAGGCTTGCCCAGGAATACCCACCAGCTAAGCTCCACGATGCCATCAAGAACAGCTGCTCGAACTGAGGAAGACACAGTCACCCTTTAGTCACAGGAAAACTCCAGGGGGAAAAGAGTTTCTATTCATGGCTGGTGCATCACCAAATGATTTCAATTTACGGTGGTATTTTAATACAGAAAAATAAAGGAAAATACTAGTACATTTGACATTTGGAATTATGCTGATTGGCTGGCATATTTTAAAACACATCAAATGAGACAGGCATCAGTGTTTGACAAATTTTTATACAAAATATATTCTAAGAAACAAATGAAAGGGGAACGTGTCAACAAATTTTCTTATAAAATCCCAAAGACAAATGCGGAGAGTTACAGGGGGTGTATTAACTCCGTGCAGAATTTAAAATGGCTTTTGTGGTTTATAATCCTTTTAAGATTCAATCTGTAAAATTGCCCTGGAACAATGAAAACCTAAAATCAAATCATAAAGCAGACTAACGGATAAAGACTGTAATACAAATGGACATTTTTATCCTGTCTGTTCAAAGTGAGAGCAATTTCTTTTCCTTTTAGAAGCATAAAGAAAGGTCTACATTAATTTGCTTTATAATTGTCATTATTTCCTTTGCAAAAATTTAAGTTATTTTTAAACTATAACCTGATTGTAGTTTTCCCCCCCACTTCACTATTTACCGATTCCATTTCTCTACACAGATCACACAACGAGTCAAAATCACATAGGCACTGATGGGCGCTGAGCCATGGGTGTTACAAAATAGCTGTCGTGAGAGCCGGCTGCTATCCGAGGGCTTTAGGGCACAGATTTTGACTTTGAAATGATCGTCTTTGGGTTTGAATATCAGTGTCTGCCAGGCAGAAACTAGATAGAACAAGATCAAAACCCCCATCTTGTTGGTGGGCTTTATGCCTTCACTGTTTCCATGCAACTTTTCGGGGCGCATTGAAATTCCCTGCTGTCTTCTCTATGTGCCTGAGTTTTAATGTACGACAGCATGTCCCAAGGGCAGAGGAAATTATGCTGCCTGGGCCTTTGTCTGTAAGCAGCAATGCAACAGGGCGGTGTAAAATAGAAGACAGATTTATTTAGGCATAAACAATGTAAAAAATATTATTCGATACAAGAAACATAAAATCCAATATCCCAATAAATCTGGCTGGCAAGGTTCACCTTATTGCTAAATGATTGTACAAAAGAACAAACTTTCTTTAATGTTTCCAGGTTGGCAAATGCAATTTTTTTCTGGCTCCAGCTTCCTAACTTTGTCAGGAACTATAAAGCCCTTCCCTCTTGGGTGCCAATGTATCTAAGGAGGTTTGCAGGACCTCAGGTCAGTCTTATTATAGTGGATTGAGGCTCTGCCCTGCCTTTTGTTCCCAGGGGTTTAAGAAAATGGACAGTTTTGAAGTGTGGTATTATAGAGCTGCTCATATTGTCTTCAAAACCACTAAATGATCTAAGCGAGCATATCACAAACACAAATGTGCATGCAAATTACCTGACAGTGTTAGAAAAAGTAGATGCGCAGTAATTTGGGGTAAGGGTTGGGATCTTTGTTTGGAAGAGTCCTCAGGTACAGCCATCATGTCCGGGGATCTCACTTGGTTTTAGAGGAAAAACATGAATGACCCAGATGATTAGACAGCTAAAACCCTTTCATTGGAACACACATTAAACTCTTTCTATATGGCCTGGGTTGGGACATGGGGATTTTATGGTGGGAATGATTCAGCCCCATCCTCCTGAAGCTTACAGGAGAGCAGGGAACCAGAGAGCTTACAGAGCTCCCGAGCAAAGCCAGGATTCATGTTTCCCTGAGCTCTAGTCTGTGATCCTGAGAAGCTGTTAGCATCTTTTCTCCACCTTCACTTCTATCTCATCTCCTACCTACCCAAGTCATGGATTCCCAGTATCTCTTTTGGACCACATGGTAACCTATCCTCCATGGCTGAAGCAGGGCACTCAAAATATTTAACTGTTCCTTGCCACAAGGTTTGAGCCTTATCCTATAAGTAATGGGGCATCCTGGGAGGTCACAGCAGGAAAATAACACTTGAAGAAGAAGAGTTTGACCTGTAATAGATTTGGCAGTAAGATCCAGCAGGCATTTGTTGAAGGAAGGCTTTTGTAGAGGCTGATTCCTTGAAGTGAGGAGAATAGGTTGGGTAAGAACCACTCTTCTTGAGGGTTAGGGAGATGGGTTGGCCATCTGTCTACACCTCCATTCCAAACCTTGAAGATTGCCTTTTCATTTGATCTCATGAAATCCTTTGAATCATTGGAGAGGGTAGTAGCTACGGATTGCTGTGGCCAGGGTTTGAACACAGAGCTTCTTAGCCCCAGGATTTCATTGTTTTAATCCACTACTTCAAAGTATGCAAGGACAGATGCCTACCAGATGCAAATGCATCAACAGAGAGTGTGTCAAAATGATCCAGCATGAGCGTTTAGGCATTCAGTCAACCTGGTTTTAAATGTTGTTCCTACTCTTTAAAAACGTGAACAAATTAAAGAATCTCTGTTAGCTGAGTGGTGCTGCACACACCTTTAATCCCAGCACTTGGGAGACAGAGGCAAGCAGATATCTGAGTCTGAGGCTAGCCTGGTCTACAAAGTGAGTTCCAGGACAGCCAGGACTATTACACAGAGAAGCCCTACCTTAAAAAATCAAAAAGACAAAGCAAAACAAAATTTCTCCCTTCAGACACTTTTCTTGTAAATGGCTATAACAACACATAACAATATCTACGTCACAGGATAGCTATGAGAAAAAAGTCACGGGGAAAATTTTAGAATAGTGCTTAACTTATATCCAGTGTCCAATACTTAGAAATCTTATGGTTTATTATTATTATTATTATTATTATTATTATTATTATTATTATTATTCATGGATGATTAATTACAGAAGGGATCTGAGACAAGGTATCACTAGGTAGCCAGTAGTCAAAGTTGGCTTCAACCTCAGGACAATTCTCCTGCCTCAGCCTCTCAAGCATGAGACACTGTGCCCACTGTGGATTTGCTTTAATTTTATTTGAAGAGATATAAGTAAAAAATAAATGATAAAAAGCTATTTCCTTTTCATTAGGAGATGGTGAATAAATGAGAGTTTGTTTTTCAAAATAAACCGAGGGACAATTTATTTGTGATAACTTAATTGTCATTATCTATGTGCTGAAAACACTTTGGGGGCACCCTTTGTTTTCTTGGCTACATAAGGAGGGCAATCATAGTGTTGACCTACTTCATAAATTTTGTCAAGAATGTCAAAATCATTTGAAAAACCCAAAGTACTGTAATGAATAACTCTATCTTTTCCTCAGAGATCTGACCAAAGCTACTCTGGGAACCATGGTCTAACTGAGCAGCCTTCTCTATTGGCCATTTGTCAATTCGTACAGTGGAAATGCCCCTAAATAGTATAGGAAAATACATTTTGGGGGAGTTACCATGGCAACCTACAGAGCACTTCAGAATGCCTTAAATCTGCATGACTCAGTTCTTTGATAGTCAAGATAATCAATCACAGGATTAGAGCAGCATGAGGTCTAATCCACACCAGCTTCCATTTTGACTGAGAATATAGTGCTTCATAATAATTTTCCTCCTAGAATGCCTTTTATCTTATGTAAAGACACATAACCTGCTCTATGCTGTGGAACAAACCTTTTCTCCATTATGAATATATATTACTTTCATTAGTTAATAAAAGGCTGACAGGCTAGTAGCTGGGCAGGAAGTTAGGCAGGAAGGCCAAACTGAGAATAGTGGGAAGAGGGAGGGCAGAGTCAGGAGAGACAACAGTCAGATGCAGAGGAAGTGAGATTGAGATGTCGTACTGAAAAAAGGTACCAAGCCATGTGGCAAAACATAGATAAGGATTATGGGTTAATTTAAGTGTAAGAGCTAGTCAGTAATAAGCCTGAGCTACTGGCCAAGCATTTATAAGTAATATTAAGCCTCCAAGTCAATTATTTGGGAAGCGACTGCCAGGTATTTGGGTGTTGCTGGTGAAACAGAAACTTCTGCCTACAGCTCTATCTGGCAACTCCTATGCCACCCTTCATATCTAACCATATCTCATACATAGGTGCTTGTCTCTTAAATATCTCTCTTGTTTTTTTGTTTGTTTGCTTTTCAAGACAGGGTTTCTCTGTGTAGTTTTGGTACCTGTCCTGGATCTCGCTCTATAGACCAGGCTGGCCTCAAACTCACAGAGATCCACCTGCCTCTGCCTCCTGAGTGCTGGGAATAAAGGTGTGTGCCACCACTGCCCAGCTCTTAAATATCTCTTGTCCTTAAAATGTTTCCTCAAAGATGGCTGCCAGACAAAAATTTTAGAATCCTGCTCCATTTCCCCATTTGAACATGTGTCACTGTTCACGACCAGATGAAAATGTGGCTTACTGGTACAGCTTTTGTCACAAATTCCAAATGATCATTTGGTAAAAGTGGCAAATTGCTTTGAACTCAAGCTTTCATTGAACTTGATTGATAGATTCTATTTAGAGAGGTGCTCCTATGTAGAGAAAACCAAGACAATAAAACATTTAATGTATTAGCAATGGATTTTTCCCAGCTGAAAAGAAGGTACAATTAAGTTGTTCCTGTTAATCACATGACAGAAGGAAAGAACATCAGGACAGTAGGGGTGTTGACTCCTGCTCCATAAATAAAAAGAAGCAATGAATTTAAAACCATGACTTAACTCGTAGGAAAATCCTTCCATGGTTATGTGAATAACACCAGTGCTGCCCATCTCAGCTCACTTTGGACAAACCTTGGAGCCTTTGTGGGCAGAATTAAGTCTATTTGCGTATAGTTTGTATTAACTTCAGACTCCTTCCTTCTGTTCCCCTGGAAAGCCTATTAATGAGAGTTCAAGGGTCCATTTCCCCTTCTTATTTTTATTTTAAAAGCTCTAGTATATTTGATTACTAAGGGAAATTTAAAATGTTCATATAAAGTATTTTTTCTGTTAAATCTTTTGTAAGTTAAAAAAAAAAAAGCTTTATTTCAAAGCGGTTAAAGAAAGAAAGGAAATTTTGGCCATCACTCAGGGTCAGATTTTTTTTTCTTCCCCAAGATGGGGTTTCTTTGTGCAGCCCTGGAACCTGCTTTGTAGACCAGTCTGGGATTAAAGGCACGTGTCACCACCATCCAGCTCTTCACTCAGGATGCTTTAGAAGCAGTTCTAACTAACTTATGTAGAAAGTAAATGAATGGTACAGGGCAATGCTGAAGAAATGGAGGGAAAGACGGACAGACAGAAGGGAGCAAGGGGATCTGGTAGGCATTTTCTTGATGATAAAACTGTCTGGATGAATTTAAACAACAGATTCAAAAAGAAAAACTCTTCTACAGTTAACCCAGGGGATTCAAGCAAGAAAGTGTATCCCATTTAGGAGCAGAGCTTTGGGGATGTGGCTGATGAGAACCACGGGAGGGCACAAGGCATCGGAAGTAAACAGCAATGAAGGAATGGCCCAGATGTGCTGTCTGCCCTTTAGTCTGTCTTTTCCCTTCCATCCTGCAAGTCTGCAGAAAAGCTACCAAAGCAGGACATGTTTGATGGGCTTGGGCTTCTTGTGTAGCTCAGCAAAGTATGGTTTGTGGGTTGGTTTGGTCCTGTGAGCAGAGAGTGGTAGCCAAAGAAGACTCCTAAGAGAAGCCCAGAGCGACTGCGGAGAGATAGAGGAGGAGCCGAGACTGCAAGACAGAAGGTGAAGCATGGCTTACAAACACCGTCTGTCTGGTGACAGAGAACACCTTACAACTGAGGATGTGCAGGCCCCGGATGTGAACTGACTGCTGTTATCACGTCAACTGGACACCGTGTCAAGTTGCCTCTGAATTCACATCTCTCTCCCCCTGTATTAGTACATATCTCAGACTTCATCAGAGAAGTTTCTCTGTGCAGTGCACAGGGGCTAATGCAGAAACTCACAACGGGTCAAAGTGCAGAGAACAAGTGTCTATGGGGTGCTCAGATGCAAACGGGACATATGTATCACAGTGTGTCCCCAAGGTTCAGGGACCATCCAAGAAGACAGAGTGGTTAAGACTGTAAGACCAGAGACTGGGGAGGACTTGGGTGAACAGCATCTTCCAGACATGACAGGATTGCTGTGCTCACGACCTCACGGCAGCTGTGACTGCTTGCCCCAAACCTATACACTCTCAAGCCATGGTCAGTATTCCAGCATGGAATGGGAAGGTGTTCATGAGCTAATGGCTTCTGGCAGAGGAAGAATGGGTTTTCTTTACTTAAGAATATAGCTCCAGGCATGTTGACCACAGTCCAGTGAATGGCCCCACACCCAGAAGTATATGTACAGCATATTGGAGTCAATAGAGTGGTGAATTTTTCCTTTCTCCCTTCCTTCCTTCCTTCCTTCCTTCCTTCCTTCCTTCCTTCCTTCCTTCCTTCCTTCCTTCCTTCCTTCCTTCCT